GGAAGCAAAGATAAGAAGCAGATGTAGTGTCAAGTGTCAACATACACAGACAAGAAGAATCTTCACTTATTTTCCTTTTTTTAAATATAATCACCGCTATTTGAAAGTCCACTGGACTCCAACTATGTTTAATTTAAATACTACAGAGCTCGTATAGAGGGCGACTCAAGACCTTTAGTTAAGAGAAAATGAGTTTCAACCGCTCTATCTCAATCAACATTGGTCACTTATTTCCTTTTATGATGATTAATTTGGAATGCTCATGCAAATAAAGTAGGATTAATATTCATGTTTTGTTAGAAAGTCTAACTTAAATTAGCTGTAAAAGTGGCTTAAATGGTAAATCATACTCCGACGATTTCTGTAAAATTATAAATGAAATTAAACTCATACTCAAAAGATATGAAGATACGTATAGTAATACTAAAAAAAATATAATTAACCTAATTTGGTTACTATTATATTGAGAATGGAAATTTTAAAACCTCCACATGTATCATTTTTTTGGTACCCATAAGATCATACCATTTTGTTAATATTGAAAGATAATTATGGATGAAATGCAAATTTTTATTATAGTTGAAATACCAATTGATTTTGTCAACATTTTTCCAACAAAATATAGACTAAAAAAACGAATATAGAAACAACATCCGGGGAACATCATTTGTCTCATATTTTAGAATAATGGAGAATTACAATCATTACCTATTTTCCAATAAGCGGAGACAACAGATGTGAGAATATTTGTGTATATATAATAATTGGGAACAATTATAGATTCTGATTTGATAATCTTAACCCACAATGATAAATTATTTCTTACGTAAAACTAATCGGTGAATATCAAAAAAGGGTTGAAATAACGGTAATAGACTGCATTTTTAGGTGAATTTTATTTGTAAAATCATACGGTTCAAAACTTGAAATTGTGGAATAATTATATATAATTTATCTTTATTTTCGGTTAGTAGTATTCTTGGTGATTTTTTAGTCTTGTAAAGAAATTGTACATTTTCAGATTAATTAATTAATTAATTAATTAAAATCTAACGTTCTTTAAGAACGATTCACAGTGCAACTTTTAATCACATAATTATTTGTAAGGTCTTGAACTATTGCTTATGTTCATCATAACATATATGTTTTCTCCATTTCTCTTTTGTAATAGTTTTTTACATTTTTTTAAAAAGTTATATGGTGTAGAAAATGAATGTTCTATCTTCTCTCCTTTTGTAGCACTCGCGTTTCGGAAATTATTTACTTAGACTAGATTTATAACCTAACTTATGGATTAAACAAATGAAATTAAAAATTTTTTAAAAAATATTTCGATTTTAATCCTTTTCTTCTAATTATATAGTCAGAAATACTCTCATTTCAATCGAATCATTAATTTCATTAATTTAATCTGTAAATAGAATTTTGAACCCGTCTAATTGCTCCAAAATTATTGCACAGTATATATATATACATAATACACTCTAGTATCATTCAAAAAGATACAATTTACTGAAAAGGACAAATATAAATGTAAGCATATTACAGGAAACCTAATATCCCATCACATTAAATAGAAAGAAAATTTGATAATAATCTAACCTATTCAAAAGCATTGGATACTTAAATTTATAAGATGTCAAAACTAAAGCCATCAAATCAGAAATTACATTTTTCAATCAATAATTAAATAGCCTCAATTATTTTATCTATGTCAGTTAAAACATACAGTATATCATATATACTGATTACTATTGTGGTGACTTTTTGTTAGCCGACTCTCACTACCCTCGACAGTAGAGCCAGCCTAAGGTATGCTTACTATTTGTCGTGTAAGATCAAATTTAGGCGAGATCAGCGTTTTTACTATCATATCACTATCATAGGTAATATCCAACACTAATAATTAGATATATATAATGTGATAGTTATAATATATCTCATTAATCAGTAATTTAAATGTGGAAAATCAATTTTGTAATGGAGGAAAAATGGTGATATAGCAAAAATCAATTTTGTAAATATAATCAAGTCGTGCTAAATAACACAAGTTGTATCAGACATAATTTTCCATTATATCATGTCATGATATTCATGATGCCTTCAGCAAAATTAATGCTGACGGATTTTGCCAACAATATACACAGGAGCATTTTATGTATTCTCACCTGCTATAGTGAAAATCAGGTCATATGTAATTTTCGTTTGTAATTATTATAACATATATGTTGCAACATAATTTTTATGTAGAAAAAAAAAAATGAAAAGCCAACTATAGGAATCCAATGTTCATATTACTTAAACAATTTTTATTTCATTTCATGTCATTTCTAAATCTTTTGCTTTACTTCTACTTAAGGCTATGAAAAGATTAAATGATAAATGACTACACGAAAAAAATTAGTCCAAATGTCAATTTAGAAAAGTGATTTCTTTATTCTTTAGGTAAAAAAAAAAAAAGTAAATATTTAATTTTGATATATGGACAATTGGTTTTTATCAATTTCAAACTGATAACTTATTTTATTAATTAATTCTGTGTCTGTAACTCTTTAATATGACATTTCAACTAATTAATTTTTCAAAACGTCAAAAGTTTACTAACTATGATCTATAGAATGCTCCTAATGTCATTTCTTAATTAGGTGAAGGTTCTTTTTATATATATATATATTTTTGAAATCTGAAAACCAAATGTAGAAGGAGCAAAACGACACTTAAATTGTCATTTTAATAGTGTGATTAGTTTTGGGAACATAAAATTTTTCTTCAGCTGCACTTCACTACTACTATACATAAGCATGACGAGACGATCACATTTAAATTGTTTTTTAATTAAATTTTTTTTTTTTAAAAAAAGAAGAAGATAATGAAGAAATAAATGTGTTTTCGAATATGATAGGCATCAAATGAATGAACAAAGTAGATGCATGACCAATAATGAGGTAATGGATCATAATGCAATTTAAAAAGGTTATTCCATTATTATTAAAATTAATAATTCAAAAATAGTTGAGCACACGTCTATTATATATATAGCGTAATCTAATAGATTAAGAATTTAATTTGGAATTTTCTTTCCAATAAATTTAAGGAGGTGAGGCCATAATTATTAAAACCCATGCAACATAACGCAATAATAAAGAACCAATGAACAAAATATGAAATCGATAATGGTAATCGACAAACAATGAATTCAATCAATTCGAATCTACCGAAAGAATCCCTTTACCATTTCTATTGAACTAATATATCAAGCATCTAACTCATACAAGTAAGTTTTCTTATGCACTCAAACCTAGTCTGATATATGAATAAATGTGATCAAACAAACATGTGCTATTGGCTAAATAATGAAATTGAATTTTATTTCTCTGATAATTATTCTGAGTGCAAAAGGCATGGTAGCCATGTAGCTCATGAATTTTATAGGCTTCAAGATTTTTGTCCATAGTTCATATTTCAGCCTTATAGCTCTTAATTTTATGGGCTTTTGGACAAAAAATAATTCTGACTTTGATGCTTGTCTTCTTTCACTAATCCAATAGTCCACTTTCATTAATCCAACAAAAAGAACTGGACAGCAAACAAAGGAGATTTTAAAACATTTGATGCAAGTGTATTGAACTGCAATATGCAAGATTTCAACTATAGAAACAGTCAATAGCTCTACCTAACATAAGCACCATCCCATCATCTATAATGTTCAAATTTGAGATCCCCACATTTGAATTTCAAATGTTAACAACTGAACTCAGGATCGTTATACCTTAACCTGTTAATCAATTGGAAAAAAGGATTATAGAGTATTAGTAACTGAACTTCAAATGCCATGGAGTAGCATGTATCAAACAACTATCACCAAATAGGCAAGGGAAGCTTAGTCAATGTAGCAACAACTCAAATGCATGTACTGCCAAAAAGTCTGAGCATTCATCATGGTTTCTACATTTAAAAACAAAATCTCTCTCCCTCTTTCTCAAAATGAACATACAGGGTAAAGATGAACAGAGCTTCAATAGTGATGACGATGAATAGGGCTTCAATGTTGATGACAAGCAGAGCTCCAATATCGATGACGATGTTAAGTGTAAGCCATTTTCAATTTTCTTCTGCCTAATTTCACCAAGCAAGTTGTTTCCATGGCAATGATTTCAATTTTCTTCTGTTTGGCACTAAGAAGTTTTTGAGAAATATGAAAAAATTCTTTAGAAGAGAAAAATGAATTGGAGATGGTTACAATTTATGTGTTTACATAATGACTAAAATATACAAGATTGATTCATATTATATCCTAGTCTTTTTTTTTTTTTTTTAAATCCTAGTCTCCCAATGTTAACTATAGGATCAGGCTCATTGGAATGAATTTAATCAATTCGAATCCATCGGAGTAAGGAAAACAATGAATCAAATCGACTCGAATCCACCGGAGCAAGGAAAACAATGAATCTAATCAACTCGAATCCACAGGAGCAAGGGAAACAATAGATAGTCCATAAACTGTGGGCTAAAAATATGTAAAATGGGCCCAAAAAAACAGAAGCATATATCCAATTGGAGTTATCAGATCAATATAGTACTTTTACTAATGAAGCAATGTAATAAGATAAAGTTACGAAAAAATCCATAATGTTTCACTAATTTACACGCAATTGAAATAGATGCAGATTTGTAAATAAGAAATTTATGAGGAGCAATATAGCAAAAAAAAAAAAAAAAAAAACATATATCCAATTGGAGTTATCAGATTTCAATATAGTACTTTTTACTAGATGAAAAGCAATGTACATAAGATAAAGTTACGAAAAATCCATATGTTTCACTAATTTACACGCAATTGAAATAGATGCCAGATTTGTAAATAAGAAATTTATTGAGGAGCAATATAGCCAAAAAAAAAAAAACAAAAAAAAGAAAGGTACGTTGTTTCGTTTTCCCATTTTCGCTTGCTTGTCTTCTCTCTTTGAAATTGCCCCGCCACCGAAAAAAAAAAAAAAAAAAAAAAAGAAAAGGTACGTTGTTTCGTTTTCCCCATTTTCGCTTGCTTGTCTTCTCTCTTTGAAATTGCCCGCCACCGAAAATCCCTTTCCTCTTCACTTTCTCCCTCAGCATTCAGCTCCATTGCTTCCTACAACGGAACATCGACTCTTTTCTCCGGTTCTGCAATCTGAAAGGTAAAATTTATATTATCGCGTTCTCTCTGTAACTTTGCCTCTAGTTTCCTGACTCTTTTTATCAGCTGTTTGTTTCCCGAGAAAATCAGAAAAGTTTCTGACTATTTTTTACTGCCTTTGGGGTTTATTAGTTGTTTTGGTAGCTTTATTTTATTTTTTTTCTGTTAATCTGCAACCGAACAGGGTTTCTTTATAGTGTATTTACTTCTTTATCACTCACTCTATATCTCAACCATTTGACATGTTCATATTTGTTAGCATAATTTTTTAATATAAAGTGCTATTCTGTTTCTAAGGTTTATCATTTGCTCAATATTGACCCTTTTTTTTTTTTGCGAAGTTTGTAATTTTGATTTATTAACTGCATTGTTTCCTTTTACTTGCTTTATTTAGGATTTGGACTGTTGCAATTTCGCCATTATGGGAGACTTGCCAAGGTGAATTTTGCTTTTAGCTGTTGTTAATAATGCTTAAATAGTAGCAAGAAGCTCATTTTTTTAGGGTGAGTGCTTCGTTAAGCTAATAAATTTTGAGATATGAAGTTTAATACTCCTTTTCTCTCCCTTTCTTTTTTGGGCCAGAGTTCAGGGGAGCTGGACGGTTTGATTTGGCTAAGAAAAGTATTTAGATTAAAATTAACAGGGGTACCTACAATGGTATACAATTAAATTTACTTTTATTAAAAATAACTTGATGTTGATTGCATAAAACCTGAGCTTATTATGACCATTGTATGCATATAGCTCCTTAGAACTTATACAAAAGTTTGTATTTGCTATTGGCTGCACCCGAATTTATCTTTTTGTTATATTGATTTAATTTCCTAGGGAGGATATTCCTAATACACTTAGGGTACTTGTTGCAACTGATTGCCATCTGGGCTATATGGAGAAGGATGAAATAAGGCGGCATGATTCTTTTCAGGCATTTGAAGAGATATGCTCAATCGCTGAGCAAAAGCAGGTGATCTATCCATTTAATACTTTTTGTGCTCCTGATTTTAATTCATTATTCTGCTGGTTTAAAAATTTCTCCTATAGCTGGTAAATATATCATTTGGCTAAATGTACATATTTTGACTATTTGCTTATCATACACGTCTCCCTCCCTCCCAACTTTGTCCCACGGGTGCCTTTTACATTGATTTAGTTGAACGTAGAATTTAGAATTTTCTCTTGCCTATATGCTGGTTTCTTAAGGTTTTGCAGAATATTAGACATCTTCAATCTCAGGTTTGATTCAAAAGGAACTGTGTTGTAATTCTGACCAATGAATATATTTTATCTTATTTTCTATTTTATTTATGAGAACTTAAGATATGTATGTCTGTTAAGTCGTGTTCTTCTTTCTGGTAACAGGTAGACTTCTTACTCCTTGGTGGTGACCTTTTCCATGAAAATAAGCCCTCAAGGTCAACATTGGTCAAGGCCATTGAGATTCTCCGTCGTCATTGTCTCAATGATCGACCTGTGCAGTTCCAAGTTGTTAGTGACCAGACTGTGAATTTTGCAAATACGTATGAACTTTTTTTGCTCTTTATCTACAACGTCCATTGTCCATTTTTCCCATTTGTTGACTCTTTCGTCTACTAGAATTTTATGACTAAGCTAATAAGATTTGAATTCCATGAATCATGTTTTAAACATAAGTATAAAACATGAGTAGATATAGCATTGATACATGCCTTACATGTAAATATCTTATAGGGAAACTTATGAGGAACTCAAGTGCTGAGCGATAACAAATTGCATTTTTAACAGATTCGGGCATGTAAATTATGAAGATCCCCACTTTAATGTTGGGTTGCCGGTGTTCAGTATCCATGGAAATCATGATGATCCTGCTGGAGTGGTATGGATTTATGGTACAATGGTTTTTTTTTATCTATGTACATTAAGAAATTATCAATCTTTCTTTTATATGCACATTTACAGATTTATATTATCTTATCTTTCTGTTTTCCTTTTCACCTCATGTCTTCCTCTCTTGCTCAATTTCCCAAGATAAAGGAAATTTGGGATTAGAGTTACTGCTGTGTATAATCTGGCCAGCAATTATTTTCTAGTTAGTTTGAGATCAATATTTTAAAGCCCGGATTATGGATAGTGGCAGGGGCAAAGCTATGCTTTGTAGAAGGGGGCAAATCGCAATTGCCCCCAGCCCCGCTTTTCCCCCTCCCTCTTTTCCTTCTCTCTTTTAAAATAAAAATCTTGGCTTGAAAAGACTGCATTTGAACCGAAGATCCATTGAAAATTTCAATGGTTCTTTAACCATTTGCCTTCCTGGCATTTGTGTCTAATATGTTTCCCCTTGACTTTAAACTTTAGCTTTGCCCTTGCATAATGGTTTATTATTGCTTTATTTAGGATGGTGACTATTTTTCCTGTATATGATCTAAAAATTGCTAACTTGCTGCATTATTTTGTCAAAGATAATCACATCTAAATTCTCATTGCTGATCAATTGCTAGCTTACCCTAAGTGTAGCAGGAACATAAGTTGGAGGAAGGACTATTTAAAAAGGAAAACTTAGTGAATGTAGTGCAAGTTTGTCCCTCATTTCATTTGGCAGAGAGGAAGAGAAAAAGAAAGAAAATTGATTAAAAAAGTACAACTCCATTTAAGATTTTTTACCAGAGCGTGATTGATTTGTAAGATTGCTACCGGCTCTAGGCCTTTACTAGTTAGTCCCGGTAAAGCCCCAAGACAGAATATTTTTTTCAAACGAGGCCCTCACTGACATGACATAAATTCCTTATAATTTTTTTCCTTATTTTATTGAATTTTCATTTTCGGAAACCTAAATTAAAACTGAACTAAAGGATAAATATGATAAATGAAGTAAAATCTATTGAAGTAGTATTTCAGTAGTATTTTACAAAAAAAAAAAATAATGAGATGAGTTGTTATCAATATCTGGACCTTATTTTATATATATACTAATTGAAGTATTTTGAAATCAGCTGAAGCATGAATGGCGGAACAAATCCAAGAAATAACCTCTCACGTGCGAAATTATAGAAGATCCCCTTTAAGATCAAACAATTCCTTTGAATTGAGTATGATTGTATGTGTGATAGTGTGTACTCCGTCACATTTCCATTTACTTTCAGATTTTTTTTACAGTTTTGGACAAAGACTGGCATAAAAATTGTTCTTATGGCTTTCAAGGGAAAGCTGCTCTGGATGCAAACTTCTTCCCTTATACTTCCCTAAAGTAACCTCACTTTTTGTTGTGCAAATTTCATTTTCCTTCTACAATCAAGATCTGTCGTTTAGAGGATTGGACTTTGTTAATGGTCTTCAGTTGTAATTTTAAATTCGTGCATGAGTGATCTGCTTGACTTTTTTTTTTTCAGAAAATGACAACCAGACTACAAATTTTTTGCTGTCCCATTAGTGGTCTAACAATTATATTCTGTAGGTTTTCAAAAAAACCTATCAGATACTTCACTTGTCTGCAAGGTTTATTGCTTGTAGTTAAGAGGTCAAATTTCTCAATGTGATATATAAGATATTCATTCATGGATGCACTTAACAACATTCTTAGACTGGTTTGTTGTATCACTCAATTTGATCACTGGTGACAGGACAACCTTTCAGCAGTTGATATTCTTTCAGCATGTAATCTTGTGAACTACTTCGGGAAAATGGTTCTCGAGGGTTCTGGAGTTGGTCAGATCACGCTCTATCCTATCCTTATTAGAAAGGTTTGATGATGTTATTAGCTTGATTCATGAATTGACTATTTACTCTGCTTATGACATGACATAAACTAATATACTTGCAGGGCTCAACTGCTGTAGCTCTCTATGGTCTTGGGAACATTAGAGATGAACGACTCAATAGAATGTTTCAGGTGCTTTGTGTAAGATGTTTCACTGTTGTTTAGTTTAGGACTTGGTATGCTAATTTGTCTTTTGTATCTTTATTTTTTCAGACACCACATGCTGTGCAATGGATGAGACCTGAATCTCAAGAAGGTCGTCAGCTGTCTGACTGGTTCAACATTCTGGTACTTCATCAGAACAGGTTGTGTTTGTGTGAATGCATGTTTTTGTCTGAGCGATGGTCTTTTGTTGATTGAAAAAAAAATTATGATGTTTTTAATGTTTGAACATATATTAAGTCATATATCTTTTTCAGCCGTGTCAATTGTAATTACAATTCATTTGATAACCTTGTTAGTCCTTGAATTCATGTTTGCACTTTTCTTGAAAGATTTCGTTGAATCTTACTTGAAAAAGAAATAAATAGATTTGAACCTTCATCTGATGTCGCGTCTTTCACATTAACGTACTCTTTCACATGCGAATTTAAACTTTTATCTCCTATTGCGGTCTGCAGAGTGAAGACAAATCCAAAAAATGCTATAAATGAACACTTTCTTCCACGATTCCTGGACTTCATTGTGTGGGGACATGAGCATGAATGTCTTGTTGATCCTCAGGTGCCAATACACACATTTTCACCTACAATTTTAATTATTCTGTGGTTACTTTACTGAATTGAAGATGGGTTTTGAATTTAAAAGGAAGTTCCTGGAATGGGATTTCACATCACTCAACCAGGTTCTTCAGTTGCAACATCACTAATCGATGGAGAATCAAAGCCAAAGCATGTGCTTCTTCTAGAAATTAAGGTAGCTTATAGAAAAACTTTGATTTTTTATTTATTCATTTTTCAAGGATGCAGTTTTGTGCCTCCTATTTGTTACCAGTCTTTTTATGCTCAAGTGTTGAGATAATATATAGGGAAATCAGTATCGCCCAACCAAAATACCTTTGACTTCAGTGAGGCCTTTTGAATATGCAGAGGTAACTTGATGATGCTCTTCCTTCATCTATGAACAAATGTTTCATGATCTAATCAATCTCATGATGTAGGTCGTGTTGAAGGATGAAGCTGACATTGATCCCAATGATCAGAACTCAATTCTTGAACATTTGGATAAAGTGGTGAGTTTTACTTCTGAACATTAGCAAAGAGTTTGGCCTCTCAGATTACTAGTGTCATTTTGTACATGATTATGATAATAACTATTACTAAAAGAGCATATGCTAAGTACGTTTACTTTAATTTCTTAGGTCAATAATCTAATAGAGAAATCTAATAGAAAGGCAGTTAGCAGATCAGAGCTCAAGCTTCCATTAGTTAGAGTGAAGGTAACATCCACCTACTCATAAAAATGATAGTACTAATGGAAAGACCAATCTAACTTTTATCACCTGTTATTATCTTAGTTTGTTGCTAATTTTGACACATCTTTGGATTTGATCAAGGTCACACCTTGTTTTGTTATATCTTGTTAAGTGTACTATCACATTTTAAACAAGAAAAAAGACTTAATTTTTCAACTGAATGTCATGAAGCATAAAAGTTTTCATCACATGAGACAAATGGATTGTTATTTATCTTATATTGAGCCTTATTTGAAACCCTAATTCCCAATAAATTTGTTATCAAAGTTTTTAGAACTTTTATTGTCCCTGCAATTTGTCCTCTCTCACTGCAGGGGCTCATGCCCCAATGGCATTGATTTATTGACTTTTCGGTTGATTTTATAGGTTGATTACTCTGGATTTATGACCATAAATCCTCAAAGATTTGGGCAGAAGTATGTGGGGAAGGTACTTTCTGTTTATTAATTGCCACAGTGAACGTGCTATCCTTCATTATTCTGAATTGAATTTACATTCTGTTCTTTTGATTTTTTAGGTTGCAAATCCTCAAGATATTCTTATATTCTCCAAGGCTTCTAGGAGGGGGCAGAGTCACGGTAATTTGCAAATCCTCAAGATAATCTTACATTTTGACTCCTGTTTTGTGTAAGTTCTAGAATATCTTTGCATGTTTCCATAAGCCTTGTTGTAGTTGGTTCTGTTTGCATCCTTGTGACATTATATACATAAATTGTATGGGCAACAATGTGCAACTGTTTTGCATAAATTACAAGTTTCATCATGTACCATGAAACAGACATTTTCAATGTGGTATTAAGGTTTGTTCTTTCATTTTTCCTGTTCTAGTTAGTAATTCCCAGTGTTGAATTCAAAAATGATGTTATAAAATCGATAATCTTTTTGGTGGCTAAATTGCAGCTAAAATTGATGATTCTGAGCGCCTTCGCCCAGAAGAGCTAAATCAACAGAATATAGAAGCTTTAGTTGCTGAAAGTAATCTGGTACTTGGCCATCATCTATATTTCATTTTCGATTGTAAATGGTATATGCAGCTTCCCTGTGTACTTGCTCGAATATTCTACAGACAAAATACGGTATTATAGAATCCTCAAATATCTTCAATTGAAATTAAGATATATCCAAATTCAGAAGAATGGATTTAGGCTTTATCTGGTTCTGTTTAATTCTTATTTTTAGTGCTACTACTAAATTGAACTGTGGAAGAGAAGCTGGAAGCGAGAATAAAATTCTCACAGAATCAGAAGCCTTATGCACTCTCATATGACTTTTTGAGTTTAACTTCCTGTTGTGATGCCTATCTTGCAGAAGATGGAGATTCTTCCGGTCAATGATTTGGATGTTGCATTGCACAATTTTGTTAATAAAGATGACAAAATGGCATTCTATTCTTGTGTGCAATACAATATTCAAGAAACACGTGTGAGTATTTCAGAGCATCTTCCCAATATGCAGATACATCTTTGAATTGTTTTGGATCACTGGCATCTCTGTTGTCATATGAAGGTTTTAGTTGTTCTATTTGAGTCATTTTTGAATTCTGTGGTGGATTTTATAGTTCTTGTTGGTAGTTACTTTTTCTTGGGTTGAAAACTGACTTTATCTCTTTTCTTCTTTTACTCTGATGCTCACCATTGAATCATTTTTGTTCTTCAACAGAACAAACTTGCAAACGATTCAGATGCCACAAAGTTTGAAGAGGAAGATATAATTCTTAAAGTTGGAGAATGTTTGGAGGCAAGAAGCTTAAGTTTTTTATGGTTAACTTTCTAATTTCTAGGGAAATAATTTGTATCTAGTATTATCCACATGCCCTAGGCATCTCAAGGAATTAGATCTTTAACTGAACTGAAGTTCAATAATGAGTTCGTGAAAAGGTTTCAAACCTAGGTGCCTAGGCCTATATATGTGGCTTTGCCGCTGTGATAGGACTTGGAAGCATCTTCAAGGAGAAAAACCCATATTCTTGAGCCAGGGTTTGTTGAAAGAGGTCTATTTCACATGCGTACAGACACACAGGTGCATGCACCAATTTGTACATAGTGCTTGCTTTGGCAGCAGACAAAGAACCGGTTAAAACCTAATACATCTAAACCTGGACTCGGCAGCCAATCATTATTACTGTTGGTAACTGTATATATTTCTTGCAGGAACGTGTTAAGAAAAGGTCCGTGCACTCTAAGGATGCTCTACAATTCACATCCAGTGCACATTCCATGGAGGTAACTGTTAGCGTTTTTTTTTTTTCGCTTTGTGATTTTTTTTTAATGGGCAATTTGTATGTCTATGTGTGCTTGCATATCTGGAACTGGCTATATGGAACCATTATCTGCTGTCTGAGCTTTTGTTTTCATTTTCAAATTTGTTTAGGATTTTAGAAGTGCAACTGCTGCTGGAATTGCAAGTGCAGTTTCTTTTAGTGATGAAGAAGAAACAGAACAGGTATCTGGCTCAAGGACCTCCGGTAGAAAACAGAAAGGGTCGAGGGTAGTTTCTAGATCTTTAGCTGCTTCAGAAGCTGGAAAAGGTAAAACTTCTACAAGAGGAAGGGGCAGGGGCAGAGGCAGAGGCTCAAGTAACTTGAAGCAAACAACTCTTGATGCAGCTCTTGGATTTCGTCAGTCTCAAAGGTTAATTCTGTTGCAAGTGATCTCATTTGGATAGCAACCACAACTAAGTATATAATCCATGGTATATGAAGGCACACAACTTTAATGGAAGCCAAGGCTGGGCTAAGCATTGATAGTGTTGCCAAATATTGAAATTAACTTAGAGTGCAATATCACCTCGTCCAATTGGAATTTTACAATCCAACTAGATCTAGTGAATAAAACTAGGGTAATGCAGAAATTTTGATAGTGCAAGATGATAGACAGCTCTCTATTTGCTGTTGCTGTGGAAAATGGAAATATGTTACTCATTACATGCATTGCACATCAGCTGATCCTAAAGTTATGAAAAGGGTGCAATTAATAGTTCCAAGGTTCATATTCTTTTGAACTTTTTTGCATTCCAGATCTGCATCTGTTGCTGCAACAGCTGCAGTTAGAAGTATTGCTGATGAGGACGAAAATGTGGATTCTGCTTCAAGTGAAGATGCTGAGAATAATAGAATCAATGAGGTTGAGGACAGTTCGGTATGGACGTCAATTCCACAATTTGTCCTTTTTTTTTTTTTTTGGATTTTGGATTTTTCTATTCTGTTAAACATAATTTATCACAACTCGGTCATGATACTGATGCTAATCATGAAATATAAAAATGGATGCCACATCAAGAAATACACCTCCGACTTATAAAAGAAAAGGCAACTGTATTCCTATGTGTTGAGAGATTATCTTGTAATTGTATTTCTTGTATCTCATCAATCGATTACATAGGTCTATATATAAGGAATTCCTATGCTACCTAGCTAATTAGGAATAGACGATAACTAAAATTTTGTACCAATTTTATATAAATAACATTGTGTACTTATGATATGATTTTATATGTTTTTTTTTTATGGGAATATTTTGAATGGATTATTTCTAATTTGTGTTATTAAAAAATTACAATTTAGGTATAGATTGTTTATTCTACAATTCTTCGTGCTAATTAGATTCTGATGCTCGGAAATAATTAGTGTTGAAAATATTAGATAAAATAGGATGCCTATTATCAAATCTTTTAGAAAAGAAAAAATACAAAACACAGACATTTTTGCGGGATGGCTTATAAAAAAGGAAAACAAGGCAGACTGTACATTCTATGTGTTGAGAAGATATATTTGCTAATTGTATTTCTTAAGTATTTGCAATATTCATCAAGATACGGGATTTTTAAATGATAAGAAAAAGGTCTATATATAGATATAATGTAATATCAATATTATATATAGAGATATCATATATATAGTAAGATTCTACTAAATAGAAACTCTAAATTTAACATAAATCCTTCAACACTCCCCCTCAAAGTTGGAGCATAGTTGTTTAATTTTTAAAATAAGCTTTCAACTTGTTTTAAGCAATCTAATAGTACTTTATTGTTAATTAAAGAGCGCAAATCATACTCAGTCAAACATAACCAATATAAAAATTTTATAGATCATATGGAAGAAAATCTCAAAGGACAAGGAGGTGTAAGTCAAAAAGCAGAATTTAAGAACAACCAATAAGGTTGCTCGACAACAAATCTACTGAACACAGAAAACAACTCACAAGGAGATTTGGTAGGTTTTGATCAGCTTATACTATATCATGCTTTACTCAAAGAGGAAGCCAGTAGCGCAATATATTTATCAGAAACAGAGATCAAAACGATAAAATGAGGTATTTTGGCAAACGGAGGCGGACCACATGAAGGCAAGAGAAACAATGACGATACTCACTGGGGTTGCACTGTTCGCCAAACGGAGAAGGTTCAAAAGCAGAATACCATAATTGCAAAGCAAAAAAGGGTTGGCCAAAGTTACTAAAGACCTAGTGAAAAGCGGAATCACTAGAAAATACGAAAATTAACCTAAACCAAATTGTCACAGCAAAGGAAAAATATGTTTCCTCAGCAAATTAAAGCAACAACAGTAGCAGAGGACTGCCCGACACAGCTGCAACAGAATCGCAGCAAACAAACTTATTGAATAAGCCCAAGAATGACGATGCAACTCATTGGGTTGCACGTCTTTCTTCAAGCCAACGTCGGAGAGAGGAACCGGAGTGAAAAAGACCATTGGACATGCGCCAGCGCATGAACCAGAGCAGGATGAAAGAGGTGGCGAGTGGTGGCAATTCGCTTGGAATCCGGCGACCGGATTCTGGGAAGTCGCTGATCGGCGGCTGGAGAATATCCTGGGATGGGCAGTGAGGCAAAATACTAACCCTAGAAAGGTTTCCTAGGGTGGCAGTGGCTTCTCATAAGGGAAGTTTCGGGAAATTTTTTTTGTTTTTTTGTTTTTTTATTTGTGAATAGAAGGCTCTGATACCATGTTGAGAGATTATATTGTAATTGTATTTCTTGTATCTCATCAATCGATTACATAGGTCTATATATAAGGAATTCCTAAGGATTCTATGCTCCTAGCTAATTTAGAAGGAATTCCTATGCTACCTAGCTAATTAGGAATACAAATCATAAACTAATTAGGAATCTAACTACTAATAGAACTCTATTTACAACTAATCCTTAACACTATGAAAAGAAAGAATCATCTGCCAATTATGGCATTCCTGAATTTAGGTCTGGGCTACTACTTTAAGCCATGGACTTGAACCTGTTTCTGTTACCTTTTCATTTGGCATGAATTTACAAGATCAAACCAAATTTAGGTAAAACCTTCAAATTGACTTAAATTTATCATCCTTGTGATGTACATTGTTGACCATGTTAACGCACAAAGTCCAAGGTCATTTGTTGTGAATTGACTGGATTTACATGATATTTGCTGTGTAGTCACTGTAAAATTTCTTTGCAATCAAATTTGCTTTCTCTTTTAAAGGATGACGGTGGGAGCATTCAAGGCAAAGGGCGCAAAAGAGGTGCTTCTAGGGGAAGAGGTAAAGCTGCTGCACCATCAAAGCGGGGAAGGAAATCAGATAACTCAACCATTCAAAGAATGCTTATGGGCAAGGATGACGACGACGACGACGACGACGATGATGTGGCAAAGAGATTAAACAAGTCTCAACCTCGGGTTGGTGATAATTTATACCTTTTCATAGTTTCATCTGCTCCTGGGAATTTAGTTGGGCATATACACTAGAGTTTAAACTGTTGCCTTCTACTCAGTACAAAAATCCTCTAGTTTCTAAAACTGCAAGTGTCAGCCTTTCTTAGCCTTTGGGTTCAGGACCCATATTACCTTCTATTACATTCTGTTTTATGTAAATTATATATTGTTTAGCATTCACTATCTTTAACCTGAAGCAATTTTGTCGAAGGAATCACTTTGTAGAAGTTGGCCAAACCTGGAGTTCTCCAGGCAATATCTGTCATGTGCATTGTTTTTGTTAAGCCTTGAAATTGACATTACTCTTTTCTTCAGTGTTCAATATCTTCAGACAAGATGTGAAAAAGCTAAGAATAATGTGGATGATAATGATGATAAAATGTGGGGATTATAACTTGGAAAAAGATAGGCAGAAAGGAATGTGTGACATTTGAGTTCTAGGAATAGGTTTAGATTATCTTGTGAGGGGATATCTGGTTTCTTGCTTTAGGATAGCATCTGTATATTCTTTCTGTTTATTGTCACTTGATTACTTGCTGCTACAGTGTGCATGATGACACTTTTTTTTTTTTTTTTTTTTTTTTTTTTTTTTTTTTTTTTTTTTTTTTTTTTTTTAAAATATCGGGGTGGTGTTTAGTCCTTAGGACTGACTAGCGGACAAACGTAGTTCCTGCTCTCCACCATGGGTTCAGGCAAATGTTTCCTCCACATGGACCGGCAAATCTCCAATACACCTAGGGGTTATGATCTATGAGCATTGGCGGCTTAAGCCAAGCAGGGATTAATTAACTGCTTGGATGCTCTCAAGAATCGAATCTAGTACCACCGGAAGTTTGTCCAACGTGGTTTCCATTAGGCTAACCCTTTGGGAGTCATGATGACACTAGTTATTGTTAGATAAGTCAATACCTCAGCCGAACTGTCACTGATGTTCCTTTGAAGGTGAAGTGGAATTCATCAATTTCTCAGGAAGATTGAGTAATACTTCATTACGTGCACAAGTATTCTCAGTTCATATTTGGATGTAATCTGTTAATTTATTTGCTCCTTTGGTTGTCAAAAATTCCTCATCTTTAACATAATCAGCTTTCTGTGGACCTGTATAATATGAGAAACATTAGTGTAATCCTTTTGGTATCCTGGAACCATTAGTAGGCACATATTTTAGGAAAATTATCCTGCCTGAGGTACATATTTCCTAACTTAATCTACATCGTAGGTGGTAATATGATGTACAAAACGCATTTGTTAACATTTTATGGTTGTACCTAAACCTGAAAGCATATCCCTTTCTTGCAGGTAGCGAGGAACTATGGAGCTTTAAGAAGGTAAGGACAATGAGGTTCAACTTCAACATATCCTATTGCAAATTCTGGTCAACCGAATGGTTTGTTCTGGTCAGACGTTACGTAGACATGGTATGATTCATATCTTAAGTACAAGTGAAGAACTTTAGGTACTCAAAATTTTGGAAGCATGGAACCAAGAAGTGTTCTTGTCTATGAAATTCTGCTAGACATGGGAACATGAGAGCTGCTAAACATTTTGCTTATTTTGAATTTCAAGCATCAAGTTCATATCTTTAGTGATTTTTAATTACCATTTACTATGTATATATTGAAGTTTGTATAGCACTTACTAACGAGTGATCATACATGTTTTTTAACCGTTTCCTTAGTGATAGATTAATTGTCGTGGGACTTATTAACCACGTGAGAATTTATGTGGTGAAGTGATGCTGAAACTTTGATTGGATTTGTGATTTTCATTAGTCTTAAAGTTGACTTTGGTGCTGTAATGGAACAGAAATCAAATGAATTTGTAAGATTATTTTAATTTGCTTAAAAATGGTTTGAGCTAAGGCAACTTAGCAGATTCTTCTATTAAAAGAAGTTTCTTGCATAAGAATGACCTTTTCTGTCATTAAATTTAAAATTACACTTATCCTAATACAATACATCAATAATAACTGCATTTATACTAATACAAACTGTAAACCAATGGCTGAAAAGTCTAAGAACGTTGTATCAGCTGATCCCTGGGTCACCATGTAGATTGTTTTAGAATTTTACAGAGCATAATTTGTAAAATTCTAGTGGCTTCCACTCAATCCCATGGCCAATTGAAATTTAAGAGCATTAAGAGTGACGGAGAGTTAATGTGGATCCAAATATTATGAAAAGATTTGACAACATTTACAAATGAAAGCTAGGTATGGCTAGCGAAAAGGGACAGTTGTGCCAAAATTTGCCCCTGTAATGTGGGAAGTCAGTTTTGGAAGTTAAAATTGTATTTGGATAAACTTCCCTTTGTTTTTTCTCTGTAGTTAGAGAAGGTTAAGAATCTATGTACAGAAAGATTATGCAGCAAAGCTTGCTCATCGAAGGTAGACCCTCTGAGTCGCATTTATTGGATGTTTAGCTTTCCTTGGACAGCTGATATTTTCCTGCTAGAAAGAAATGAGAAAATCAGAAACTGAATTAAGCCATTCACCAAAAATAGTACCAGAAGCTCAATAGAGTTGATTACTGCCATTCAGTTTGTCAATCTGTTTGGACCCCATCTTCACTCCAATCTCCATTTAAAAAAAAAAAAAAAAAAAAAAACTCCAATTATTCATTTAAAAAAAAAAAAAAAAAAAAAAAAAAAAAAAAAAAAAAGATGTGAATAATATGTCTATGCTTGAGTGCATGAAGATTACTAAGAGTGTGAGAAAACAATATAAAGACGTCCCCTTTGATTGCCCAGGAAAATCAATGGAGGGGAGACGAGTCCAATTTTACTTATAATTTGTGAATATAAACACAAGAAGGAATCCAAAAATTTTCTTTCCCATGTTTTAATTGTGAATTAAAGAGAAACCTCGGAAATTAATTCTAGCACTAAATCAACTTCAACATGCACAGTCCTGACTGTTCCCACAGGGTATGATGCAAATAAAATGAGTATTTTCCTCTAGCAAGACATCCAAATTAAATTTCTCATAATTTATCATTCTAGAAGTTTCTGGTTGGACACAGAATTATTAATTAAGGAATAATGTGCAAATACTTTGTCTTTAACCTTTACCTTAGGAGTAGGACTAATATTATTTTCTTCAAAGTTCAATGTCATGTATGTATAAAAAAGACCAGTAACTTTTCAGAAAACAGCAAATTCAAAATTGAAGATCAACATGGATACCTTTAAAACAACTGATCTTGTTTTATCACCCTTTTCTGGAATATATTCATTTGCCCCTTTTTGACCTCTAACCATGACTCCAGTAGCAATGTCTCCACGACTGTATTTTTGGCTCACAGCCTGTCTTCCTGTTGCATTCTCATTTCCAGCACCCACCAATTTGTTGGGTCCACCCACTGTAACCTTCTCCTTAGCCATTGCAGTACCCCTTAGTAACCCTTGTTCATTAACCTTATGTGGAAGCAGACCTTTTGCATGTAGCGTCTGTTTTTGGACCTGCAGTATTTGGAACATTTTGAACTTGTTAAACTTGCTTATTATGTATCATACCATCTTAACAGTCAATATTGGATTACTTTACCTGTAATGGATCAGAACTAAATACATATAAATTATCATACTCAGAACAAGCTCATATAACATTATTTTGTCCTGAATTTCTACAGTTTCTGACCTTTGACTTTGGAAGTTCTTGGTGGGATGACTTTGCAACAATACTTGTTCCTCCCTTTCTAGAATTACAGATTCCCTCTTTAACTTTAACATATGAAGCATTTGACACAATAGAATCTTTTACTTTGTTTTTTGTTGCTCTATTCAGCCTTCCCACATTTCTGCTATCTGGGGTCCATTCTCTGTACTGCTGTATCAATGCAAATGTAGAACTCTTAACGCCATTACCATGGTTTGAATTTGAAGATGATCCAACACTGGATTTGCTAGATACAGAATTGCGGCCTCTTGATTGCCTCTTATTATTTAAATCCACCCTTGACGCCTGTCTAGTAGTATAACTTTTTCTAAGGCTAATTCTCATGGCTGATAAAAGTCCACTTGAGTAACCAAGTGCTTGACTTGATACCTCTAGGTTTGTTCGTTGTGGTTTCTGATCACCCTCAGAAGTAACAGTACTTGTATTGCTTTCACCGGACTTATCCGCTGCAGAACTCGAACTTCCTTCAGAATGTCCATAACTCGATACAGCTTTGAAATTATTGTCTTTCACTTCAGTTAAATTTTTCCCAAGCACAAAACTTCTTTTTGACCTTGAAATTCCTTTGGAATTCATAAAGCTTAATTTGGGCTTTATTTCCTCTCCAGATCCTGAATGCGCCCTTGAAGGCTTTCCACTTAAAACCTTAACAGGATGCTGCTTATTCAATGAAAGATTATTATCATCCTGACTTTTGTTGCTTTCATAGTGCTTGCCCCTGGACCTTGACACTGAGCTTGGAAGCTTTGGTGAAGATGGTGCTTTCATATAAATGTCTGAGGACATAAAACCCTCACCAACATGAGCAAATGCAGCTTTTAACTCTTGAGAAGAACACTGGTGAAACCTGAATATCACATTGATTGAACTTTAATGCGCATTGTTATTCATTAATGCTACTGAATTTTCAACAAAAGCTATTTCATCTCTAAATTCAAAACTTGAGGTGAAAATTAAAAATTCCACGGTAAAAAAAAAAAAAAAAAAAAAAAAAAAAAAAAAAAAAAACAAGGTGGCTTACACATGGGATCTGGTTGACCCCACCATCAATCCTCGATGTACAAATAATCTATAAGTTTCAATAGGGTGTAAAGAGCGTACGCAGAGTTATTCAATATCCAAATGGGAATCAAATTCACAACACAATAACACAAGACACTTAGCTATTTCTTAGGTAAGTAGACTTTAAAAAAAAAAAAAAAAAAAAAAAAAAAAAAAACAGGAGATGCTTACACATGGGTCGTGTGAAACCAACCATCATCGCTGCAATGTAGCAAATAAATCTTAGTTTCATAGGTGTAAGAGCTACCAGTTTCTAATATCAAATGGAAGTCTAAATTCACAACCAATAACAAAGACACTTACATTTCTTGGTAAGTAGACTTTGCTTCTAGGGTCAGATCTACCCACGTTGGTGCTTCGATTTCTTCCTATATAACAATCAACTTTGAGTGATCAGATAATACGAGATAATTAACTAAAAATGATGAGAGGGCCATTATTTGGCAACACAAGGCAAGTGATTAATGAACAATTTAAATATGAAAATGTAATAGCTAAATGAGTATCCTGAATATCCTCAATTTGGATCCTCAGAAAATTATGAAATGATTGGACGTCACAACTTTCTTTTGGGTCATATGTTGTTGAATAGAGCATAACAAAGCAGACACATATGTCACATCACATTATATCACACGAACAAGAAGATCAAACCGAAATAAGTAAATGAAGATATGGAAACTGAAACTTTAATACATATATAACATGATAAAACATTCAATTTAAAATAAAAAAAAAAAAACACTAAAACTCAAATTGATCAAAACCCGTTGTGAATGAAAAATCAAAATAACACCAGAACAAATTTATATGTGTATAAAATGAATACTCCCCATAATCTTATTCATCACCCAAACGTCTATCATGAAGTGAACAGCAATAACGATACTATGAACAAACGAAAATCAAAAACAAACCAAAAACATTCCAAACTATACCTCATAAGAACATACAAGAAAATATCAAATGCACAAAACCTATATCAAATATATGAAAAGATCAACATATAAAAAAAGAAAAAAGAGAAATGCAAGAACCAATGCACATTTCATTAAACCTTAAAAACCCGTAAAACGAGAAAAAAATACGAAACCCACAAATCACAAGCAGGAAATTACCAGAAATGCCCAATGATCTTTCTTTTTCTCGAGGACCATTTTTGCCTCTTCTTAAAAATCTTAAGCAATGAACAAACCTCAAGCCAGAAAGAAAGGAAACCACGGAATTAGTGTTTTCTATGCCTCTTTGATTGAAAGTTTGAGGGGCAAATCCTCCATTTTTATTCTAATGGGTCTTTGGCTCCTTGGCTTCTCCTGTTAAAGCTAAGATCACAACAGAAAACCCAACATAGACAATAGACATTGCTTAAACGGCAGCGTTTTACTTTCACGTGCTAACCATTTGTTTGCTCTCCTTGTGACGGAATGATCGACCGTTGGATTGATGACCAAGAATGTGGGAGCTATAATTTGAACGGTTGAGATCTCTTATATGACTTACGGTGTGCAGCGTAGTGACATGATATGGTCTCTTAGCTGTTGTAAGATGATGGGGCCGCGCTGGCAGAAAATTCGACCGTTGGTAACATTCGAAATATTTTAAAAAAAAAAAAGGAAAGGAAGCTAGTGTTACGGGCTGGTGTCTTTTGTACCATGAATGAGAAGTTGCATTCCTAGCAACACAATTGAGAGAATGATAAGCAATAATTTTATTTTTTAAAAAATTAATAACACTAGGAAAAAAAATTATATGTACCTAAATTTGAATTCTAATTTTTTTCTAGATAATTTTATATTTATCATTAAATAATATTTTATATAATATGTTATAGGATAGAAAATAGATATGGATAAAGAAAATATAAAGTTAGGAAATAGATAGATAAAGAACGGAGCAACAGGTTGAGTAACCTATTACAGTATGTTTCTTTATACATGTGTCAATTAATGAGGATTTTATATCAATACAGAATAATTACTATATGTACAGTAGTAAAAGCCTTACATTAAATTATAACCTTTCCAATTGCATGAATGGTTGATTTTTAAAATTTAAATTGATAATTTTTTTTTAATATAATTTGTTTCTTGTTATATGTTGAGTTCTAATTTTATATTTAATAATAAATTTTTTATTTTCTTTTTCGTAAATGAAATAATTTGTAACTATTATCACTTTAATTTGATAATAGATTTATATCTCATTTGCAATAAATAGATAGTCTCTTGATGATTAAACATTTTTAATTTTTTTGATTTTATATTCTAAATTTGTTTGATTTGAAAGAAAATAGTGTTTATAGAATTCGAAAAAGAGTAAAATTATATATTTCTGTTTTTGGTCTTTTTTGGGTTTTAAGAATTTGTGTGTATGTGCATATATTCCTTTCTCGAATGCATTGGGTAAATAATACTGATTTATTATTATTATTCATTATAGGTTTATATAGATATTGATTTGAGGTTGAAGGCAGGGGTTGGAGATTATGTGATGACTTGATTTCTTTTTGGCACCTATTAGGATTTTAAGAATTTGCATTTATAAATTAGGGACTGAAAGAATAGGTCTAGGGATTGGGTTGAACTTTATTTTGAGACCACTTTATTATATAAAAATAGAATTAAGTATATAAAAAAGTAGCATTACAAATTAATCAATTGTATTAATATTATATAGATAAAAAAATAAACAAGTACAAAAAATAAGTATATAACGAGCATAGTCAACGTGCAATGCACGTCGTAAAAAGACTAGTAATATATAAAAGCAGAGAAGTCTATTTTAAATGATAGCCAAATGTAAGTTTCTCAAATTTCCAAGTGTAAGGAGAGCAATTATTTAGCATAATTGTAAGAAGATAAGTTGTAATGACAACAATTGGAAGAAGTTAAGTTATTTTATATTTTCAGATATTGTCATATAAGAGGAAAAAAGAAAAGAAAACTAAACTAATATTAATAAGCAAAACCTATTTTATTTGAAAGTAAGAAATGAATATCAAATAAAAGAATTATGATAATTTTCTCTTCAAATTAGAAGGAAAATAAAAAACTATAAATTATTTTTGGGTAGGTGAGTAATTTTACTTGACCATCATCTACCTTTAGTAACTAATTTTATTTTACCACCACAATTATATTTACTAACTAATTCTTTACTTCTTTGTTTTTTTAAAAAAAGTTTTTTTTATGCATTTGAATGTTTTTTCGCAAGTATAAGAAATCGCAATAAATAATAAAAAATGAGTAGAGTATCGTTTCCACAAGAATTATATATCAAGTACCAAAATTGTGTTAACCTACTATTATTTAAACGACAATAAAGAGAATAATTCTAAAAATAAAAGAAATAAAATAAAGCGATGAAAAAGAACTCAAGCAAATATTTACTAACGTAATGTCTTTACTTCTTTGTTTTTTTTAAAAAAAGTTTTTTTTCAATGCATTTGAATGTTTTTTCCGCAAGTATACAAAGAAATCGCAATAAATAATAAAAAATGAGTAAGACGTATGCCAGTTTTCCACAAGCAATTATATATCAAGTACCGAGTGTTAACCTACTATTATTTAAACGACAATAAAGAGAATAATTCTAAAAATAAAAGAAATAAAATAAAGCGATGAAAAAGAACTCAAGCAAGTAATTGTTGAAAAACAATCAAGGATTAAAAGCTAATAGGGATTATGACTTCATTTAACTCTATCTAATTTATTATATTAATTTGATAATCAATTTTAATTGTTCAAGTAGGGAAATCACCCTAATATCACTAACAAGCTGTCCCGATGTATTGTTAGCTATTTTAACCAAGTCTAATTACCTATCTTTCAATAGCACAATCAAACATGAATTAAATCATTAAATTTTATGGCTTGTTTATGAATTCATAACCTAAGGTCGTTAATTTATGAAAGACCCCATAAGTCAAACTATAAAGCTTCCGCATCATGTTATTATTCTCATATAATTTATTATCTTTTTCATATCAAAAACCCTTTTCCCAATAGTAATTAATGAAATAAATCAATCCGGGGAGAAATCTGACTGGAAGCATTAAGTTCAATAATAAATTATACTTTGAACAAAGAAAAGCAAATCTAATATTATAACTCGGAATAGAAATTAAGCTATATCAAATCTCTAGTATAAGAGTTTAGTTCGACATAGTAATTAAATACAACTCAATTAAAGTTGAAAATAATTCCATAATCAATATGAATAATGAAAAATAAAAACAAGATTAAGAGTTTAGAAATAAAAACTAGTTAACAAATAGCATGGACGGCTTCGTTGATTCTTTACACAAACTTAAATGCTCGAAGTCTTAATTAAAGCTCGGAAGTTCTTTAAAGAAAACTAAGAAAAAAGGAGTAGAACAAAAGATCTAAGATCCCAAGATTCGATATATTTAATTGCTATGTAGTGATCTCTTTTATATAGGGACTTCACAGAGTGTCTTCGAATTCGAGTAGGAAAACTTAGCTTGCCTAAATTTAGGAAGAATATTTATTTGAGTAGGAAACTGATTTTTTGTGTTGTATTTTCTTCCCAATTAAAAAGTTTTCTTTGACCAAATAGGGCTCGAACTCAAACAGATAGGTCTCTTAATTAATTTTCCATGGCAGCTTTCCATTGCACCATGCCACTCCTAGACTTCAGATCTAACACGGGCTAAAATGAATTTAAATTCACTGACTCTGAATCTGCAGCTTTTCTTTGGTAAAAACACGGACCATAGCATTTGAACACGGCCAAGGCCGTTGTATTTATTGACTGGGCCAATTTTGGAATTTCCAATTTTTACAAACAAGATTAAGAGTTTAGAAATAAAAACTAGTTAACAAATAGCATGGACGGCTTCGTTGATTCTTTACACAAACTTAAATGCTCGAAGTCTTAAAGAAAACTAAGAAAAGAGTAGAACAAAGATCTAAGATCCAAGATTCGATATATTTAATTGCTGTAGTGATCTCTTTTTATATAGACTTCACAGAGTGTCTTCGAATTCGAGTAGAAACTAGCTAGCCTAATTAGGAAGAAATATTATTTTGAGTAGGAAACTGATTTTGTGTTGTATTTCTTCCCAATTAAAAGTTTTCTTTGACCAAATAGGGCTCGAACTCAAACAAGATAGGTCTTCTATTATTTTCCATGCAGCTCCATGCACATGCCACTCCTAGACTTCAGATCTACACGGGCTAAATGATTAAATTCGACTGACTCTGAATCTGCAGCTTTTCTTGGTAACACGACCATAGCATTTGACACGGCCAAGCCGTGTATTTTATTGACTTGGCCATTTTGAATTCCAATTTTACCTCTAACCTTTTTTTATGGAAATTTTAGCTATTTTCTTGCTAAAAACCCTTCTAATCAAGCTTATCAACAATTAAAAAAACTTAATTAAAAATATAAATAAATCTAAACAAAAACTAATTAAAAACACTAAATGTTCTAATAAAAACTATATTAAAAATACTATAAAAATAAGCCCTATTAGCATTCATCTATCTTTTCTTAGAGGTTATACTAGTTAAAAATTGGTAATCAATAGAATGGTTAAATTTAGGAGAAAAAAAAGACCTTTAAAAATGCTCCAACTTTTCTAATTACAAAATTAGAGCTTAAAATAACAACATATAGTTAAATTTGTTCTGTTCTATTACTAAATCCAAGTCTCATTAATTCATTATCCATAATTTGATTTTCCCAAATACATAATTAGAGCTTAAAATAACGACAAAAAAAAATATTATTAGACTAAATCTCATCAATGATCTGTAATTAAAAAACTCAAAAATTGTATGTATTTTTATTTGTATCTATATTTTTCTAATATTAGTTCTAATTTAAAATTTTCATCTTAATTATATCTCAAGTTAAAATTAGAAAAAAAAAGTTAATATTGTTATATTAATTAGAAAGCAAAAAAATAAATCAACTTTTAAACTTATTTTACAATATTGACAATTTAATCATTAATTTAAAACAGATATTTTAAAAAATAAATTGATTACATGCATCCATGATAATTATGATAAATGATAATAACTAATTATTGGAATATTATAAACATTATAAAAGAAGAACACAAAATAATCAATTTTTTAATATACATTGAACTTACTGAACATTCAAGTTCCCCAATACTCATAAAACATTCAAGTTAGCTAAGCTTGTAACTAAAAATACAAGATAAATCTGAAAATATCCAAAGTGGGCCATACAAAACAAGTATATTCTAATAGCAATCCAAAATTCAACCGCATAGACAATAAATTATAGAGAGAAAAAAATGGTAATTAATGAATAATGTGTGCGCCTTAAATTGAAGATTTTTCTATCCAAAACTTTTGGAAACAAAAATAGAAACTATTTGTACTAAAACATAGTTTAATGATAAGTACGTATACAATCTGATAATAAATTTAAATTCGAATATTCTCTTTCCATATTAAAAAAAAAAAAAAAAAATCTGTGCATGGAAAAGATAATATGTGGATAAAATGAGATGAGTTTGGGAGATGCGTAAAATCCTTTAAAGCTCTCTGATTGGTTGATTGAAACCCCTAAGATCCCCACCGCCACTTCCCATCTGCCTCATTCTTAACCACCCATTTTTCTGATTTTAGTTTTCTTGCAAATATATAACTTAACACTTCCCTTTCTACACACTTCCAGGCTGCAATTATCTAAACCAGTTCAACAACACATTACTGAGTTAGAACTGAGTTCCTGTTGGGAAAAAGAAAAGGAGGACTCAAAGGCAATGGCTTCAACTCCAATGGCAGCAACTAGTTCTAGCACTCTCCTTAGGCCTACCCCATTTCTTGGCCAGAAAGGGTCAAGTGCTAACCCTCTTAGAGATGTTGTTTCTATGGGAAATGGAAAATACATTATGGTAACTTTTTTGTCCCTTTTTTTAATCTTTTTTTTCTAGGTGCATAGAAATTTATGAAGGATAGAAAACTGCTAGGATGGAAGCTCATTATCTCCTGCAACTGACAGTCAACTATTAATACTGGTTTGATATAAATATTTATGAGTACTAAGAAGTTATGTCTTGCGTATGATTTGAAAAGGGAAACGAGTTATGGTATGGACCAGACAGAGTGAAGTACTTAGGACCATTTTCAGCCCAGACTCCTTCATACTTGACTGGAGAATTTCCCGGTGATTATGGATGGGACACTGCTGGTTTGTCAGCTGATCCTGAGGCCTTTGCAAGGAACAGGGCTCTTGAGGTAATTAAACCTTACATAAATGCTCAATGTCTTCTTTGCTGCTATGTGAAAAATCTTTTCCTGTGGATTAAATAGCATTACAAATTGTTTGCAAGGTAATTTTTATGGGAATACTCCAAAACAGTTTGAATATCAATATCAAATTACTTCCTGGAAAATCTAAAAGGGGTTTCTTGAAAAAAAGATACAAAAATATAATAATTGTTGCAATTCTTAGGTAATCCATGGAAGATGGGCTATGCTTGGAGCATTGGGCTGCATAACCCCAGAAGCCCTAGAGAAATGGGTTAAAGTAGACTTCAAAGAACCAGTATGGTTCAAAGCAGGAGCTCAAATCTTTTCAGAAGGTGGCTTGGACTATTTAGGCAACCCAAATCTTATTCATGCACAAAGCATCCTTGCAGTTCTTGGATTCCAAGTAGTTCTTATGGGACTTGTTGAAGGATTTCGCATCAATGGTCTACCTGGAGTAGGAGAAGGCAATGATCTTTACCCTGGTGGCCAGTATTTTGACCCATTAGGTCTAGCAGATGATCCTGTCACATTTGCAGAGCTTAAAGTGAAGGAAATCAAGAATGGGAGGCTAGCCATGTTTTCTATGTTTGGTTTCTTTGTTCAAGCTATTGTAACTGGTAAAGGTCCCTTGGAGAATCTATTGGATCACCTTGATAACCCTGTTGCTAACAATGCTTGGGTATATGCGACCAAGTTTGTCCCCGGATCGTAAAATTGATGATTTACAGCTTCTTGGATTGGTTGTGGTAGTGTTGCCTTAGTATGTATGTACTTCTAGATTTATGAAGAAACGTTGAGATGGTTGAGATCAATGTAAATTGTCTTCTTTACCATGTTATACCATGATAATGCAATGTTAGCCTATATTTGATATTTCTATCTTTTTAGTTTGAAATACTCTCTTAACAAATATAAGTCGTTTTTGAAATATTATTTTGTATGTAAATGGTTTTTAGAAATAGTACATAATATTTTTTCAATATTATCATTATTTATTAAATACAATATCTATCCACACGAGTTGTTTAATTTTAAAATAAAGGATAATCTAAGAAAATTACAATTGATTTTATTATAATTTAGAAAAATTAATTGACTACCTATATTTTGAGACAGAGAGTATATTTCAACCTCGTAGAACTCTTTCAATTAGTGGGTAGGAAACGAATTGAATTATCAAATTGTCAATCAATTTTAGTTCAATTGGTCTTATCAAATCTTTCAAGAGCACTGGGTGCCACCAAAATGCTGTTGTGGTAAAATTAGAAGATACAATTACACATTTCCATTATGAAAAAACACAGGACAATATGGACAATTTCATCTCATATCTTCATACTCGGTAAAATCAAAGTTTGCCTCATTACATCTATAATAGCAGAATATATATAATATATATACAAATAACCTAGCCTAGTTTGCGAGAAAAGAGAGGAAGATGGAGCAGCAATGACTCAGCAGGAAACCTATTCAACTATACATATGATGATCAATCCTTCCGCCAATCCAGATTTGGCGGATACATAAATATTAATATATTTCCAACTAAGCTACCTTCACAACATTGAAAGACCACTTGGTGCTGTAAAAAGCAAAGCAAGCACTTCACAGTTAGGGAAATGGTGGAAAAGTGAAATTATTTCTCATGCATTCCTTGAGCTCCCTCCACCTTTCTGTCCATTTCTTCACCCCAAGTGGGAAATGATTATAAAAAATGAGTGCGGCCTTTTCCTCCTAGCTTCCCCCACCATTTTCTAGTTCTTCTTTCAAATTCTCCATGCCCAAGTTTGCTAAACCTTGCCTTAACATCTCGTAATCTTACCTTATAGTCTTTTTTCCATGACTCAAACCTTGCTTTCAATTTTCTGAGTTCATCATCAACAGAAGCTGATTTCCCTGAGGCTTTAACCTCAGCCAGTGCTTTGGCATCATTATCAAAGTTTTGTTTCCGCTGCTCAAATTCCTTTGTAAGCATGGTGACAGCATTTATAGGGTCATTAGTCTCTTTCTCTGCTCTTGCATCAGTAGTAGGATTTTTGCTGGGCGTGCTTGCACTAGGTGTCCGAACATCTGTGGATGGGTTGTCCTCACAATCATAATAATAAGGTGATGGAAAAGAATCAGCTTTTGCATGCTGAGGAGCAGCATTATCAGTAGTGAGACTCTTTCTGGCAGCAGCAAGACTCCCCTGGAAATATAATTACAATTAACATAGTTAGGCATCTATTTTGTATTAATTTGCAACCATCAGATCCTGTATGATGATGCATATTGAGAATAAACATATGTTACATTCTACACATCAGATCTAAAGATATAAGAATGAATGATAATAGTAGTGGACAGACTTTTATCTCCTTCAGGTACATAGACAAGCACCTGAATTTAGTCACTGGTATGGTGCCAATCTTTTCATCTTAGTATCTTATAAAATATGCTTTTGTTAGAAGTTTTCTGCTCAGTATCAGCAAATAAGACGTGTGCTTCCTTTTGCTGGGAGAACAAACTAATATGGTTTTAAGGTTAATCATGCATGTATGCTTTAAATGAAGAAAGCACAAAGCTAGCCTGCACTCAACTTGCCACAGGCAAATTGTCATCAGGGCCATGCGATAAGGCTGACCAGTCAGCCTGGTTTTTGCATATTCAAAAACAAAGTAATAATATGACCTATAAAGCCATAGGACTCTGCCATTTTTAACATTGATCACTTGTAAGTCGTGACACATCATTGCAAATATGATCCACTGTTAAGGACAGTAATGATGTCTCGAGCTAAACACTCAAGCGCAGGACTCAGCTAGCTAAGTTTATAGGTCAACTTACTCTTTTCAAATTACACTTCCATTTAATCAATAAATTCACAGCATATTAACTGAGAGCTATACAAGATTTTTATTTTTTGGTGGTAGAAGATTATTATTGTTACTATTACATCATAAGTCAGTTCGATCGTATGAGTTGTGGTTAAAAAAAATCCAATAAATTCCTTTGCAGTTCCCTATTTTTGCCCCTTTGGTATATGAAGCACAAAATGAAGTAAATTCTATGTTTTAAGAATAAAACTTACTTGTAATGATTCCATCTGCATTTGCCACGTTTCTTCCATTGTTTTCATCTTTGTCTCATATTCTGACCATTTTCTCTCATACTGTTGTAATTGTTCCCGCAGTGCAGCATTTTCCTCTTCCTTTTGCTCTATAATTTCTTCTGCCTTAGCAACCTTCCTTTGAAGTTCTACCAAGATTGAAGCCTGAATCTCAACCTGCTCTTGTGGTATGACCTGGTTAGCAAGAAGAAATCAACTTCTTAGCACCAACTAAAACACAGAAAAAAAAAAAAGAATAAATAATTCAACCAAAAACAGCCTCAATGCTTTCAATGAGCCAGGTTCAGAACACAAGTATCAAAAATATCCACGAGTTCTCTAGGATATGCATGCCAAAGCTGTAGTGGCTGATGACTAGTTTCAACTATGAATTAGGACCAAAAATGATCTCTTGAGGGCTAATAACAGCATCAAGGTGATTACCTTCACTTCTGAAATCTTTTTTCCAGGCTTTCTTTTGGAATTTGTATTATCTTGATTTAAGCTCTTCAATTTCCACTTGTCACTGAATTGCTTCCGAGCCAACCACCCACGTATTGCTGCAGAGGGAAAAGTATAAAAATACTGCACCACATATAAAGAGCTCAAATTGACCGAAGGATAATACTTCTTACCAGCCTGTAAACATATAGTTGCCACCAGCTGCTGATCAAGTGTGTCAGGAGCACTAACTGTGCACCTTGTTACCATAGAGCTATATCTCCTCCTGGCATTTTCACCGCGGACAACTGCATTTTAAAAGATCTGAGTCAGATATATGAATTTAAAATCAGAGAATACAGAAAAAACATAACAGGTTCATTAGGATCCAAATAAATCATCAGAAGACATTGCAACTAAAGACACCAAAACAAGTATGTTTGGAGTTTTAGAGCAAAACACAAGTGTGAGTGAATTAGTAGGAAGGAGATGATGCAATTTGTATAAAACAGGGCAAATGGATGCTAAAAAATTTGAGGTCAACAAGACTAGATAAAGGTCCCACCCAAGTAAAGTACTCTCTGCCTCAGAATAATAGTCCACATTATTGATTTCAGATGTCTGAAATTAATTGTTCACATCCTATTTTAGTTAAAAGTGAATAAATCAAAAGGTTATTTTGTCAACAATACCCTCCAAATAACTTACATTGATTTCTATACCACTTCCCACTAGAGAATAAAATTGGTAAACTAACAAAAATCACTCCTTTCAAAAGACTTTTCTCAATCTCTATACCAATGGAAAATTAGACCATTATCATGGGATGGAGAGAGTAATAGAACAAACAACAACCAAGCCTTCGTCTCAAACTAGTTGGGGTCAGCTACATGAATTTTTTGTTTTTAATATTCACTTTGATCAAATTAAGATCAATGCAAATCAAAGTATAAGTCGGAAAAAATTTTAAAATGTATTTTGTAAAACAAATTCAAAGGGAATTTTAAAATCATTTGATACATTAATAAATAGACAAGCATAAAATAGGCAAAAACAACTTTGTAAATCTAAAAAATAATTGTGCATTACATGATTGTAATATTGTCACTCCTGTTTTTAATTCATTCAAATCACGACGAGCTAGGAAGCCACGGAAATGTTTTTGGACCCCAAGTATGCCTTGCAGAACTTGCTTTCTCTGCACCTCCAGTCTAGCAATCTGTTATCCAGAAATGCATTATAGATCAGTGAAGTAATAGATAAATAACCATAACCTTATATAAGTAAATGACAATAAGTTGAACATTATTTCCATATTAAAGCATCAATTTGAATTCGATAAAGTATCCTTAATGATGGTGGGATTTGTAATTATGCTTAAATCAGCAACATTGTGATCTTAAAAGGGACAGTAGCGTAATTATGTACCAATTGAATTTACCAAAAATATCTATTTAGAGGACATCATATGAGAAAACACTATATGAAATATAAAGACATATATTTAAATATGAATATAAACACTTCAGACACCTAACAAAAAGTATCTGTGTATGACAGGAATTTACAAAATTTGGAATAGTTGAAGTACATACCTGGCCAGTACGGAGAAACACTTTGGTATAACCAACTTGATACATTTCAGGAAGTATATTAAAATGCTGTAGAACAGCAACTGATATGCTTAATGGATCCCGAGATACATTTTTCTCTGAAAGTAGGAACCCGTACCTAAATTGCATACATGTTTATGAGAAGAATTCATTAAGCTAAAATCAAAAAGGAAAAGGAATAAATAGAGAACCCAAGGAATATGGTACCTTTGGGCAAAGTCTTGATGGGACATTCTAGTAGGATATCCAGATCTCGAAATTCTAACGACCTCCAAAACTCCACAACATCGGAGTTGTCGCAAAACAAGATCATCTTCACAGACTTGAGGAAGCTGCTTAGCATTTGGTTTTATGCAGCGAATGAAGTGAGGTGTGGTGTTCTCTAGCTGGTGCATTAGTTTGAAGAGTTGACCCTACAAGCATGAAAGACATCCCTTAAGGTTTTTCAAAACATGGAACATGATATCAAGAAAAGATGATGCTCTCTGGCCGGAACCCATAGTTGCACTCAGAACAAGATACATTCATGAATGTGATAAGCTAAGTCTTGACATGATGTCATTTTATACTATATATTTCTTGAAATGATGTCATTTTCAACACAAACTTGATTCTCCAATTGATCATACTATAGTGTTCGAAGATCGTAGGTCATCCTATGAATATTAGCAATTGGATGAAAAAAAGTTACATCCTAACCATATAAAGCGATAACATACTCATCAAGGTTAAATTTTAGTGGGTTCTTAGTGACATCTCATTGTGTAAATTGCATAAAATATCCTTTCATGTCTAGAGGATCTCATGCCAAATTTGTTCGTGTCGTTGACCATAGGGGCATATTTAGTAAAGTATTCTTGTTTGATGTGGGTCTTAAATCATTAACCATTAGTCAATATCAGTTTATAAGTTAGATAATGGATGGTTCATTAATTCTCATATCTCATGCCCATTATTGTCCAGGATCACCACGTAATTAGCCTTACAACTAACCACATGATCACATGACTGTTTTGTTACATCTGCTAGCTTTGGTATCTGATCTGAAGTCCATCACAACAACATATATGTGCAGATATAAAAATTTTAGCAAGATTATCTACCTTGAACTTAGAACCAACACTTTGGGTTGAGGATTCTGATCCACCAGACTGGGATGATGGAAGTTTTGAAGCAAACAACTGTAGCAGTTGGCAATCACATGATGATAGGAGTTGGTAGAAATCAGAATGCAGAGGATCTCGGTTCTTTTCCAGAAAGCCATTTGTATCATATGCAACCTGATCAAACTCTGAACATTAATAAATCCATAGATATAATATATTATAATTTTTGTTTTAACAGTTCAAAGCCCTGAATTAACCAAAAAGGATTAGCATGGGCCAGAGGAAGGGGTTAATGTTCCAAAGCATCATATTTTCTGTAACTGTAACAATTGCTATAGCATTTCACTAACTTAATAAATGACAAAAACACTGCTGCAGTACTTTTAATAGGAAAATTGTGTCTCCAAAGAACAAAGAAATCTTGGGGTAAGGACAAAAGAGCACTCATGCCAAGGATTAGATGTCGAACACAATGTTACCTCATGTTCTTTTGAGTTTCATCTTTATAGAGTTCGGGGGTAAAAATTTTCAGAACTTCCTCTAGAAAAGAGCAATAACTGACCTCTCCAGCATAATGATGAATAGCAAAAGCTCTCCCTCTTTCAGCTTTAAAGAAAGGATTGCTGTTCAGATGCTGCTTAAGCTTATTGGCAAGGGTCAAATCAGTTGCAATGGGGAAATTTGATTCTTCGTCTAACAAAGATAACAGCCCTAAAGGTTTCTGCATAAATCAACAGATTATAGGATTGATCACTTTAAGCATAACAACAAACATTTTGGTTGAATAGACCGAGTAGGAATCTAAAGAAAAGCGAAACGCATCTGCTAATACCACCTAAAAACAAATTTGATACTCTTGCTGCAAGCTACAGTGATGAGACAATAACCAATTTGTAAGACATTTGACAAATTATAGAAGAGAAGGCAGTAAACCAACAGTGCATGTAAATGAATGTTCTATATATATAAGTGTGTGTGTGTGTAGAGCCAAAAACCTTTATTACACAAATGTGCACATGATAATAAAGATAGGTGAATCTAATAATATACCTTCTCAAAGAGATTCAAGCATTCTTGGTTGTCAATAAAATCAACTTTAGTCCAATCAATCCCATCCTCGTCATACTCCTGAAATTAATAAGAAATTCTAACTTTGATTATCTGAAAAATCATATTACAATAACAATTACAAAGAAATTCAGCATGTGGAAGAAAAACTACATCCAAAGAAGATTAAATTTTGTGTCAGAGAAAATGAGGATGTTCAGCTCAAAAAGTTAGGGGAAAATCAATCAGTGTGACCGTTAAAAAATTAATTTCCGTCAGTTAATGACATTTTAAATATATAAGTCAATAATAGCATACTTCAACAAGAGAAATTTCAAGCAATCTCTCTATCTAACTACATAAATTTCAAATTTGTTCACATTATTAGTCATGCAGCATATCCTTCTGTAAATTGAAAGGTCATGAATTTTGGAAATGTATGATCCTTCATGCATTTTAGATCCTCCACTTCTTTTAATATTGGATATTTATAAAGAGTACAAAGTGTGTTTCCAATTAAGTGAAGAAAAATAAGGCAACAATTCTTTCACTATGCTGAAACAAAATAGAATTATATATGTGTGTACGGGATGATGAGACATTTAAACTAATTCGCATTTTTTCACAGTATGAATCAAGAAAAATCCTAGAAGGCCAACTTTGTTGCTATGGAGATCGAACAAGTTAAAGGTCGAAGATGCTTACCTCCTGCTCAAGTTTAAATAGATGCCTGTTGAAATGTTGCTGCAGCCTCTCATTTGCATAATTTATGCAAAATTGTTCAAAGCTATTAATCTGAAAATTTGAAGAGTCAATTATTACCAGAGATACAAGTGTTCAGCTCTTAAAGTATTACTAAACGGAAATATAAAACTTGTATACCTTAAATGATTCAAACCCGTAAATATCAAGGATATTTATGGATCTTCCAGTAAACAGTTTCCCTGCTTCAAGTGACTTGTTGATTTGATCCACAAGCCAATCAAACAAGCTTGCATAGATAAACTTTGCCAATGCATCTCGTCTATCAATTGCCTGAAAACAAGATAATTATGGACATTAAACAAATGCATGTTTTTGAAAAATATTAAAATACAAATATATATGATAGGAGTGGGAACAGAAGTATTTTTATTTTAAATCAAGAAGAACCAAATATACCTGCTGGAGTGTCAATTTTTTATCAATATGATCCTTTCCACATCGAATTTTATGGGTTGATAAAGCAAGTGTCAAGTCCAGGACACTACAACCCATCAGCTTGGCTGCATTTGTTATAGCTGCAAAACAGAAGTCAAGACAATAGTAAAATCAGTTGCATTTCAGGGACAGGCACATAATACGTTGTTATCATGTAAAATTAAAAATATGTAGCAAAGTCTACTCGTCTATCCTATCATGCAGATCTAATCTAGGCATGGCTACAGTTCTAGAACCACCGATTCCAATTCCAAAGAAGGGTGGAAGCATAACAGAATTGCTCTTAGGCAGTTCTTAAAATGGTATCGAAACCCCTGGTACTGGTTCGTTTCCGGTCTGGAACCAAAATTAGACAATTCTTTGCAAGTGTTTCTTTTTTATATTTCTTTTCTGAAATTTTTTAAGTGTTGTAGGATGAATAAATTATTAAGAAAACATATAATAGTAGTAGTATTGAAAAAGACTAAAGAATTTGGTTAGAAGACTTAAAATTTATTTAAAAAATTTATACCAAAACAAAAAATAAATTGGGAGTTTTTTTCATAATCTTTGATTTTCAGAATTCCTTTTTGTCTTTTAAGATTTCAAACTAGCATTGCCAGCTCCAAACTGAAATTGATGGTTCAGTTGCAAAAAATAGGAACAAAATTGAACCGTAGACACAGTTTCAGTTCCAGTTTGGATCCGAGAACCATTGACAATGGTTTGGTTTCCGTTTTGACGTGTTTGGTGAACCGCGTCATGCCTAGTCTAACCACAGTATAATTATTCCATCATGTAAAAAATATTGCACCGACATAATTTTAAGATGTGCTTTACCCATACGATTAAGCTCATCCAAATAACCATCAGAGATAGTAGGGCTAAACTTCATCTAGGTCCATTCCTTTCTACATGAAAAAACATTAACATGTACTGAAGTCTGAAGATAGCAAAATTCTCAAGTTTCCACGAAACATTAACTGCCTAGCATTTCTATAATTAGCAGTGACTTGCTACCAAAACATTAAGCATACTCCATCCACAAATATGGTCCCAACTCTCCATGAGTGCAATAAAATCACTAAGATGGCTTCTGTTAATGAAAAGCTAAGAAAATTTAGGCAGTATCAATCATAATGAATACTCATATCTGACGGGAAATAAAGAATGGAAAGAATAACAGGGACAACATCTAAAAAAACATGCGAAGCATATCATTATGGATTTTACCTTCATCAAACAACACATCCACATGATTTTCGCTGTCAATTACTTGAAATGATATGTTTCCAAGCCATAATATTGCAGCAAGCATTGCAAATATCTGCTCCTGATCAGCTTTGCAAATTTGAACAATGTCCAAGGCTTCCTGGAGATGCAGAAAATAACCCATCGAGAAAACAGAAGAAAATTAATCATCCTTAGGCCCATGAAACAAATATGAAGCAAAAAATGGGGGTCTTATTGTACAAAAAGTTATAAAGTAAAAATTAGTTTCCATTTGGAATTAGGTTAGAGCTGCTTTGCAAAACTGAGTTTTGCTGCTTCCTTTTTTTTCTTGCATAAAAAAATAAATAAAAAATCAAAAGCTTTAGAAAAATCATGGTTTGGTAAGTCTTAAAATATTGCAAACGCAGTTTGCCAAATGTAGCTCAATTGCAATACCAAACAGTTAATTTTGAGACTTACCATAAGGTTATGAAATTTTTGGGCATCATTGACACCATCAATTATCAAGCACTCGCTCTGGTTAAGATAGTTGTAGTCACCAGCAATTTTAAGGTTCAATTTTTCTGCAAATGAGGGAAGAAAATAGAAGGGGGGGGGGTTTCTTGCCATAAAAAAATAAATAAAAAATCAAAAAGCTTTTAGAAATCATGGTTTGGTTAAGTCTAAAATTTGCAAACGCAGTTTGCCAAATGTAGCTCAATTGCAATTACCAAACAGTTAATTTTTGAGACTTACCATAAAGGTTATGAAATTTTTGGGCATTCATTGACACCATCAATTATCAAAGCACTCGCTCTGGTTAAGATAGTTCGTAGTCACCAGCAATTTTAAAGGTTTCAATTTTCTGCAAATGAAGGGAAGAAAATAGAAGGGGGGGGGGGAGGAGAGAGAGAGAGACAAAAAGATTATTTAAGATAAGAATTATAAGCTTAGCATTTCAAGAAAAGGGTTAAGCTGTACATTAACTTTAAACTTAAAAATGGAATGCTGTTCATCCCATCCAAAGAAATGATGGAGTTAATGATTAATCATACTGATTAGAAAAAATACACAGGCATAAAGACATATTATATTGCAAGGATTAACCAAAAATAGAATTTATTTAACATGTCAAGATGGTCAACGAAAATGTTAGGAACATCAGGAAAAACTACAGTGCAATTCAAGTAACAGCAGAGGTCATCCTACAGATCTAGCAACATCTCAGGCCAAAGTATGTATGCATATTCAGCCTAGGGCCAAAATAAAAGTTGGGGGGGGGGGAGAGAGAGAGAGAGCAAAAGATTATTTAAGATAGATTTATAGCTTTAGCATTTCAAGAAAAGGGTAGCTGTACATAACTAAAACTTAAAAATGAATGCTGTCAGCCATCAAAGCAAATGAGAGTTAATGATTAATCAATGATAGAAAAATACACAGGCATAAAGACATATATATTGCAAGGATTAACCAAAAATAGAATTATTTAACATGTCAAGATGGTCAACTGAAATGATAGGAACATCAGGAAAAACACAGTGCAATTCAAGTAACAGCAGAGGTTCATCCTACAGGATCTAAGCAACATTTCTTCAGGCAAATGTATGTATGCATATCAGCCTAGGGCCCAAATAAAAGTTATTTTGGAATGCAAAACTTTTGAAACTTGTGTTGATTAATATTACCTCTAAGAACTGAAGGAGCACCGGCACAAAGTTGATAAAAGACGTGGTAGGATCTTTCACCCTTGGCCAGCTGAACTACTCTTGACTGCTCACAGGAGAGATAATATGGTCAGAAGGTGAAGATGATTACAATTTAAATTCCAACTAAAATTGAGGACCAAAATTTTACCTTTTCTAGCAAAACTAAGGCCAATTATCATAGGAGAATCAGCAATTGCACATGCACAACATTGAAAGGTAAGTTATTGTCATACAGACATCATAAGAAATGAGCACTGACAAAGGAAAGTCACTAAAACATGCTTACAAGTTTGAATTTTAGCACCGCATATCTTCCCTAATGTGCTAAAATGAATTTCAATTAGCCTTCCCTGCACCAATAGGGAAGAAGTGTAGAGCAAACTGCATCAGTGATAAGTCCCAGAGTAATTTAGCCAAAGAAGTACAGAAAAGTAATAGTAACTCACAAATCGACTCGAGTTGTCATTCCTAGATGTTTTTGCATTCCCAAATGCTTCAAGGACATTGTTCATCTGAAGAATTTCAGACTCTATGCCACCAGTGCCACCACCAAGAGTAGCCAAGTATTGCATCGTATATTTTGCAGTCTCAGTTTTCCCAGCTCCACTTTCACCACTGTATTAAAAAAAAAAAAAAGTTTAAAAACAGATAGCTCCTAGAAGACTCAACACAACAGAACATAAGAAAGTAACAAAAAAAAAAAGAAGAAGAAGGGAAGCTCCAAAAATCCCAAAAGAATGCAATGGAAACTAACCTTATGATTATGGATTGATTTTTTTCATCTGCAGATCATAAGCACAGAAAAAAGGAAAAAGAGAAAGAAGGTTATCAGAAATAATACTAACTTCAACTGCAGAAAGGGAAAAAACGAACAAAAGATTCATTAAAGGGAAAAAATAAACGAAGGATTCATTCACCTCTCATCATCTCATTGTAAGCGGTGTCTGCTAAGGCATAAACATGAGGGCTGTCCATAAGCTTCTGCCTGTAAGCTTTGACAATTTCATCTCCATAAAGCGGGGCAGCTTTGAAGGGATTTATGGCAATCAAAACTGGCCCTGCTTTACTCTGTGGAAATAAAGACAATAACCAGTGAAATAGGAGCTGATAGAAGACGTAAATCTTAAAAACAACAACATGGTACAAACAATAATCTCTATTTCACTTACATAAATCAAATCCTGGGAATATCGGTGCTTAAGATTGTAAAGCACTGTTGGCTCGTTCAGATAACTAAGCTTTATAAGATCATCTGCACCCTCAAGGATATCTGGATTTGCAGGCAAGAGCTCTGATGTGGACACATTTAGCAACTGCAAATATGATATGAAATTATTTGCAGGTAAAATTCACCAAAATAAGATATTGAAAGATGTTTTATAGAGCATTCAAAGATATAAAAAAAAAAAAAAAAATTATGAACTTACATTTCCATCTGCAAGTGAAACAACAGCTTCATCCCCTGAAGTTGATTGTATAATCCCTGCACTCCATCGCCCACTTGAGAGCTGACACCAAATGCGTAGTTTCTGGAGAAAAAGTATAATCCCATGACAAATGCAATTACATTGTGCCAACTTTCACCAAATAAAACATACCAATTTACAGTAGGCAAAATACTCGAAGGAAAAAATTTACATGCAAAACTACTATCACACAGTTTTTTTTTAAAAAAAAAAAAAAAAAAAAAAAAAAAAAAAAAAAAAAATCACACAGTTTTTTTTTTAAAAAAAAAAAAAAAAAAAAAAAAAAAAAAAAAAGAAAAGAAAAAAAGGAAGCTAAAAAAAAAAAAAAAAAAAAAAAAAAAAAAAAAGAAAAGAAAAGAAAAGGAGCTCACCTAGGAAGTAGGAACCGATATTGCAAATAATAAAGCCTAACCCCTCTAGATATTTCGGCAATATTTCTCCAGAAAATTAAAGGTATTTGAACTAATAACCACTCATGATCCCAACAAAATAACTTTGCCAACATGTATCTCTATTGCATTACCCTGCACCAGCCCATTTATCATTACTATAAAATATATTCCTATGTTTTCAAGGTTATTCTGGCAGTGAGTGTGATCTTAGAAAATATATCTTTTTCCAGGTTAATATCTTTTCTCAATATTGAGGAATTTATGAATCATCCAAACAGAGCAGAAAGTCAACTTTGAAGTTTCAACTTCTACCCTAAAATCCAAAAGTCAAAGTAAGAAACACAAACTTAGCCTAAAAGCATTACTATTCTTGCAAACACCATAGAACCAGATTTTCTCTAAAGGCACTCCAACAACCTTAGCAACGCATCAAGACATTCTTCCTAGCAATGAATTGAAACAACATAAACCGAGTAGATCTAAAGGAAAAATAACAAAAAAGTTACAAATTATACATTTACTTTTATATCCAATTACCTTCTTGATAAAATAACCTATGTTGTCTTCCCATTCTGGCTGTGCTGCCTTCGGCCTTGAACTAACAATTGGCTGTTTCACTGGCTCATTTTGCTCTTCAGCGTAAGGATTTGAATCCACACAACAATTCTGATCTTGCCTCATCTTCTTGCTTCCAAAACTTCCTATCTTGTACCCCAATTCCTTCTCCTTCCTTTTTGCATCCTCCTTCCCTTGATCGATTTCATTTTCCACTTTGCTTTCCATTTCGCCATTCGCACTAACCTGGAAGTTTGTGGGCAGTGAATGTCGTGCAGAGGGAAGCCGCGCCCTCGAGGTGGGCCGAGCTGGCAAAGCAGGCGGCAGCTCTTTGGACTTCTCTGCTGCCTCATCTCGCCGCCGCAGCGAGTCCAGCATCTCCTCCAATGAGCTCCTAGTCAGGGATGCTGGTGATGCTGACAACATCATTTTGATTGCAGTTTATCCCTCCAATTACAAATGTCTGGGATGAAACAAATTTAAAAAAACAATAAGCTCCCAAACAATTAACAACACATTGCATACTATGAAGATTAACAAGTACGTAAAAAGCCCCCAGTACCTAATTGGGATTAAAATGTTAAAAACTTTACACTAACAAACTTATTTCAATACCTCAAGACAGCGATACAAAGAGGGAAGCTCTAAAACCTTTCAGATAACACAAATTCCGCAATAAATTAGCTGATAGAAACTCGAAATTAGGTTTTGCAAACGCCAAAATATGAAGAAAAACAGAGAGAGAGCAAGGAAAACCCTTGTTCAAATAAGAGGAAACGTTTTTTCGGGAGCTTGAAAATCAAAGTTTATTATTTGATCCACAAATTCAAATAACAAACTCAAGTTTGTATCCAAAAACTCAAAATTGGGGGTTTAATAATCAACAGAAACTCCTAAAAACCCTAATTAGAATCAAACCAACATAACCAACTATACTTACAATTTCATAACGAAAAACTCAACACGCCAGCTTTCGTCCAACAAAACCTAATCTGGATAAGAATTACAGAATCCTAACGGCTAAAAAATTTAAGAGTTCGTTAACAGAAAGAAAAGAAAAATGCAGGAGATGTTATTGTTTTCGTTGTTGTTGTTTCTGTTTTCGCTGTAACGCGAAAACAAAAAACAAAAACAAGCTTCATTTGCTAAAAACCAGTGTAAAAGGATTTGGTTAAGGTTGTTAAAGACAACAAATAACAAACCTTAAACAGAGAGAAAGGAGAAAGAGAGAGTGAAAATTATAAAGCAAAGCTGTGTTCTGGTTATTGTTCTTAAACCTAATTGTTCAGAAACAATTTTTTTTTTTATATACTTTTTTTGCTTCAGCTTTTGTTGTTGTTGTTGTTGTTGAGGTTGTAATGAAATGTAATTGCTTTTGCAGAAATTCAAATATTTCTGGTTAGGTGGTGAGTTGGCGTGTTCGTTTCTTGTAAAACGGTCTAGATCTGATAAAAAAAAATATAAATAATAATTATTTAAATATATTTTATTTTGAAAAAACAAAATGGAAAGAAAACAAACAAATGCTGAAGAAGAGAGCAATGGAAGCAAGTCTCGAAGCCTGTAAAAAGCTGAGATGGTGAGTTGCTGAATGGGGAAGTCGAGGTTTTCTGGATTAGGATTTAGGAAATGTTTTTTTTTTAATAAAAATTATTATTACAGTTTTTTTTTTATTATATGGTACTAGTTTTAAAAATTTTCATATTATTTCCTTTTATGACCTTCGTTTGTGTCTCTGGATTTGGAAGATATATTGCCATATCTAACCCACTAAAATTCTTTATTTAGAAATTAACCTACAATTTGGATGATGATGATCATATAATGATTATAATAATAATTTTCTATTTCTAATGAACTCTAGAATATAATTTTATCTTGAACGTATCCATAATATTATTATTTTCTTTTTTTTTTAATTATTATTTTTCTTTACAGAATAATGCATCCTTTTAAAATCATAAAAATCGAATTTGAGAACGTAAAAAGAAAGAGGATTGGCGTATTATGAGAATTAAAACGTTCTTTATATAGAAATAACCTTTTCAATTATTGAATTTTAGATTATACATATCTCAAATAGATATATTGATAATAATAGGACTAATCTTAATATAAATTATAATCTACTAATTGAAGAAGTCGTTGTTGTTATATAGAAATGTTCTTATAAATATTTTAATTTTATTAATTGAAAAATAAATATAATTAATTTTAATTTATCTTATTATTTTTTTATTTGAATCTAACTTCTATTGGATAAAATAAGAAATTATATAAAATATATATTAAATTGGTACCAATATATTTATTTTTAAGCATTTTAATTTTATAAATTGAAAAAAAAAAGATAATCTAGTTTTAATTGGTTATTTTATATGATATATAATACATGTACCCAAATATATTTATTTTTTAAGCATTTTAATTTTATAAATTGAAAAAAAAAAAGATAATCTAGTTTTAATTGGTTATTTTATATGGATATAATAATACATATTAGAATATAATATGGTTTTAATTTATTATTTTTTAAATAAATATTTAATTGATTGGTTTTATTATTTTTAATAAATATTTAATTGGATTGGTTATAAATATTTCTTACGAGTCACTTACTCTATAAAGAATAAATGTAATTTATTATTATTTATTAAGAAATATATTATAAAATTTATTATATGATATAAATATAAAATTATGATATAATGTATTATATTAGCAACTATAACATAGCAAGTTAAAAGAAAAAGCAACCATAAAATTAATTATATGTTCATACAATTTAGCAAAAACTTAAAAAAGGAAAGATACTAAAATTATGAATGATGTTCTAAAATAATGATTAATGTATTGATTATCATATAGCTATCTATCTATAATATAAATTCAAAAGCTAATAAGTCAAGTCAATTATTATATGCAAATTTAAATTGATTGATAAGTAATTTTTTTTCTTAAAAATTTGATTGCCAAATTATGACAATGTCTTATTATTATTAATATATATTTTTTGACAAGTTATTTAATTATTAAATTTTATTGAATTATTTTATAAAATATTTTTATTTTGTAAATATTCTTAAAATGTTAGTAATATAATTGTTCATAACATTAGAATTTATAATAAGAAATTAATAGAGACAAGTATGAATTGCACGCTTGAGGAAACTAGTTATATAGAAATGTTCTAATAATAGTATGTTGAGGCTTTAGGAAAATAAGATATCATGGAACTATTTTGAGGCTTAAATTAGTCAAAAATGGATTAAGTTCTATGACATGGCTTTGCTAATGTAAAAATATCTCGATCTATATCAATTATTTTTTTTATTAGGAAAAATAATAAATTAGTCTATGAGCTATAGTCAAAGAAAATTTACCACTCCTTACTATTTTCTTCTATTATTTTTCTTTTTTCTCTATTTTTCTCCATTATTTTTCTTCTTCTAATATTTTTCTTTCTCCCCTTTCCAAACAAAAGGTAAAAGCAAAATTTTTATCATGGACCATATAGCAAGCATAGTGAAAATACTTCTGGTCCCTTTTTAGTAATTTTCAATAATTAGACTAGTGAAGTACTAGTTTTCTTTCCCTAAACTGGTACGGTCGTAATTACCAAGAGAAAGAAGGGTATGTTCAAGTATTTTCAACACATTTATATGAAAAGAAATTTGTGGCTTTTAGTGGTTCGAATGGATACAAACATGCCCAAAAGAATAAGGAATCTATACTCTTTAGCCATTGGACCATTTTTAATTTGATTGTGCCATAAGAAGAAGATATATCCTTATAAATGTAGTTTTTGAATTTAAATTATGTTGATGACTTTGTTGTAGTCATGCAAGATAAGAAAATTATAAGTCAAGTGTTTGTTGACACTTTGATTGCGACATTGCATAAGTGGAGGGAAGTTTGAATACTGAAAATAGATTGACAACAATGTCCTTCCGTAAAAAAGTAGGCATATAAGTGGGTAAAAAAAAATGCCAGGGTCTTTATAATTTTCGTAATTAAATATTACAAATAAATAAAATTCGGCCCTTTTTTGGATTAATTTTGCGAACTAATAAAACATACATCATGATTGTTTTCTAAAAAAGTAAATAAAGAGGAAAAAGTCCAGCGTAAGGAGAGCAAATGTAAGAAAATGAATTATTTTATATTTTTGGATAATTTTTTTATCAAAATAATATCTATTAGTTACATCCGATGAAGATAAAGTTATTAAATTAATTTAAAATTATATTAAAAATTAAAATACATATAATTCAAGCGCAATTTGAATAAATTGTTATTCAAACTCTGATAACTCGAGTTGAATCCATTATATGTCTTGCATTATGTATTTATTCTCAACATAATTAATTAAACATCAGGAGAATCTCATTAAATTAAATTAAAATCTTTATCATAAATTAAATTTCCCAAGAAAGATATTAAATTAAATTTCCGCAAGAAAGATATTAAAAATAAATATTAAAAAATAAATAAATAAATATATATATATATATATTTTAAATATAACTTTTCTTTATATATATTTTAAATATAACTTTTCTTTATATAAGTATAATCTCAAATTTTTATGAAAATTGTCTATTAAAATTAGACAAAATGAGGATGATAAGTTACACTGTTATGAGTCTTACTATTATTTGCAGAAATAATGTGTGTGCATTTTTTTATGCAGGTCATACCATACATGACCTTTGCTATTACATACCTTGGTGAAAGATTTCGCAGAATACTTAAAAAGCACATCCTAGCATTGTAACTTTTTCAGTATATCTCAATGATATATAATTTTGTAATGCATTTTATGATCATTTAATTATACACTTTTGTTATTTTTGAATGAATTTATAAAAATTATTTCATCTAGTGAGACGAGTATTTCAGGATACCCACTCCGCTCCGATCTATTTAATGAATGTATAAATAGTTATAAATGCGTTTTAGACGGATACTGGTAGTGAAATTACTACTGGCAACAGATAAGTAGGTAACAGATATTAGACTCTGGGAACTCGCTACCCATTACCCACTATAATAAACGGTTTTGGCCGTGGATGCTCGCAAGTACCCTACCTATTTATTAATACAAAATGCATTTTAAATAAGTTTGAGTTTGGATAGTTTAAATGTACTGATACCCTATCCATTTAAAGGGTACTTTAAACGGATTTGGGATTGACACTCGTAATAAAAATTTAAATGAGTTCAGATGCGACTACTTAAATGGATATTTAAATGAGTTTGAAACGGATATGGATAGTAAATTTTTAAACGGATACAGTTATGGGTAGTTTAAAATCCCCGGATACCTGCCCCGCTTCCATCCCTAATTTCATAAAAAAACCTGAAATTAAATGTTTCTTTAATTCCATAAAATAACTTTATTTTTCTTATTTCTTTCGTCTTTTCTTTTTTAAAAGATTTGTAGTCTTACTGTATCATATTTAACGTGCATATGTATTAGCAAATATACAATTCTCTTTATTTCATTTGTTACATTAAAAGTGACACAATTTTAAATTACACAAAAATTAAAAAAATATTAAACTACTTTAATTCTAGAAAAAAAAATTGTAATTAAGTAAATTACCAATTAAAATTCTCTAAATAATTAATTTTTACACCATGAAAATACCAAGAAATAAGAGTAAAGTTCGAGATAAAAAAATAATACTCCAAGTGATAAAGGTAAAATTTGGATTAATTTAATTTAACTGTTTATACCAGCAGATAGCAATTACTGGTAGCTGATAGCTGATGACTAATAGCAATTAGGTGATGAATGTTGATGTTTAGTAAAATTTTAGTAGCGCTTGCTGTTAAAATATAAAATGACCATTAAGAATATAATTCTTTTTCATACATTATGATGTATAATGTATATATATTTTATTTTAAAAGTGAATATATTATTTTTCATTCTAATATATTGTATAAATAAAAATATTTATCAAAATTTTAAAATAATATTTAATAAAAGTTCAAAATTTTAAAAATAATATTTAATAAAATTTATTAATTTTAAAATAATTATAAATTAAAATAATCATAAAAAAATAATTAATGTTCAAAGTTATATTAATAGTCATTTTATGAGGTAATAGAGTCCAAATAAAAAATATATTCAAATTAAGTTTGATTAAAAACTTTTTTAAAACACTTATTGAAACACCCTTAATTTTTATTTTTCGAAACTTTTTGAATTATTATTAAAATCAAAAATCTGAAATTTTCGACTGTCCGGACTTGCAAATACTGTTTAATTCTAAATATGAGCCCAAGTTACCGGAGTTGGGCTCAAGCCCAAAACAATATTATTAAATATTTGGCCGAGTGGAGAATCCTCTAAGAAATTTTTAAGAAGTAAAATATGGAGCGCTAAATTATTAATTATTAAAAATGTATATGTATATGTGTGTGATTACTATATAAATTAATTATTCTAGAAACCTAAAGATTGTTTGGTGTTTAAAGCCCATATAGTCAAAAATCGAAATTTTTGATTTAATAAAAATTTAAAAAATCGAATCAGACCAAACCGGTTCGAATCGAACCGGAATGATCTAGAAACCGACCCACTTTCTTTCTTTCT